CCCAAGGTCTCCTTCCAGGCCCTAAGATCTCAAGTTGCCCAGTTCGCCTTGAACTTTGTAACCCTGAAATGTAAATGCTACATACCTGACCATGCAAACTAAAGTCCAACCTACACTGAGTCAGAAACCTACAGTGTCCCCGTACCCTGAACCCCGCAACAGCTACAAGATCTGCAAAGCTTTGGCCGCCCGGCCGATAATGTAGCTTCGGCCAGTCTCATCCTTTTCCCTGAGTTTAGGGTTCAGGATCATCAAACCAAGGGTTTTATAGGGTTTAGGAGGGCCCGAGGGCCCGTTCCCTCAAGATAAGACAAGCAATCAATGGAGACGACCGCTGCTCCTAGTATGTATTGCACCGTGCCCCTGTGCCCTCGTCAGGGTAGCATGTCCCCTCAAACGCTAGGTGGACACATTATGGAACACGTATGTTTTCTGCGATAAACAATCAGGACAATACAAAACATTAAGGGAGTTTGCCTGCTTATAGCTTGATCGTGCCCTACCTAATCCTAAGCCCTAGAAACCACGACGGTATCACAGTTTCCAGTTCTCAGGGTAACATCAATACCCCTAAGCCCTAGATAGTAGCTTCCATTCACTTTTTCTTTCCCTTATACATCCGTATACATCGCTATATAATCCCTATACAAGCGACGAATGGAATTGGGCCCTCAGACCAAACCTACCCGACCCAAGCTGCTTTGTAGAGTTTGGGGTTTAAAGTATCGAGTGCTTCAGGGAGAGCTCCCTGCAATCATCCCCAAAAATACTCTTGGTAAACATACACCCTTGTAGAAATTGCTGTTTCGCCCTCGCTTAAGCACGAAAACTTACATGGAACCCTGTAAAGCCCTTTCTGACCGCTCAGCAATCTTTCTAGGACAATTTGGGATTGGTCTGGGGTAGTGTATACACTTCAAACTCAAGAAGCCGTAAAACCATCCCGACAAGCTTGCGCGCTTCAAGCGGTGCCAAAAGATCCCCTTAACGATATAAAGCAGAATATGTCGGCCTCCCGCACCGGACCGGTAGCTTGAAAAAGGCTGTCTTCCCTCGAGTGTAGAGTAGTTACCACCATGCCGATAAGTCGCATGGGTTTCTAGCTGTAGGACTTCAGGGTTAGTGAGATATGTCGGGCATGAGTTGGGTCTCCCAAATGAACACGCCAAACGTACAATCAGCAGAAAACTAGAATAAACGCTTGCCAGACCTTCCAACAACTCGCGACCTCGAAGCACACGGCAATTCGCCCCCATCTTGAACGCGAGCAACCTACCTGAAGAGAGGATCCTGGCAATCCCAACACCCAACCTGATAGGAGTCCATGAACTGGAATGCTGACATGCGACACGTAATTGTAGTAGATTAAACGCGTCACTCACAACAGGATACACAGCACATACGACGACGACTCTCCATTCTCTTCTCTCAAGTCTCCATTCCATCCATTCTCCACTCCCCAGTCTTCTCCACACTCCGCTCTCAATTCCTCTCCGATCTTCGCTCTGCACTCCATTCTCCACTCCACCGCCTCTTCCACTTTCCACTCCACTTTCCTCTCCACTCTCCCCACTCCACTCTCCAGACTCAACTCTCCCACTAGCAGTCCCTACACTCCAAGCCACTGTCAACTCCAGTCTCCAGTCTCCTCTCCACACACTCTCCGTTCTGCACCGACCACTCCACTCTTGATTCCGTTCCGCCTTGCACTCCACTTTCCACCCCAGACATGAATATGCACAAGCGAAGACAGTTTCGAGGATGGCAAACCCCAGGGCCCGCATCCCAGAGACTGTTAGCACTCTTCAACACGAGGGTCCAAACGCAACGACACGTACGAGAATGGCGACCTTGGGGGGCGCAAAGGATCCTAAGTATCTACATGGCACAATGTAGGGTTTGGCAACCCTTCTGCAAACGAAACGTTCGGGAAAAAAGGTCCCCACAAAAACATGTGTGCAGTTGTAGGGTCCTTCCTTTGGGAGTTAGTTTTTGGGGTTGGGATAACCCATCCGCTTGCTAGAAACTGTCCCCCATCTACAGCTCCTACATCACAACAAGAAGGTATCATCACCTGTGACATTATCAGTTCTACATAAGCCGCTTGGTAACTTGGCTTTCCAGGCGTAAGGCCCCCACACTTTTGGAAGCTGGAACATTCCCATGAATCCGCCCTCTTCCACGGGCTGCCTCGGCCCAAGCAAAACTCTTAGGTCTCAGGATTATACATATATATATATAAAAGAGTGCTAGGGGTGTATAGCGGTTTGATAAGGGCTTATAAGGGCATGATAGGGAGATCCAGATTCACACAAGGGATTTTACATAGCCCAATAACGGAGAAGCAAATTAAATGGACAACCAAGTGGGACCTTACCGTGAGTGCTGACTCTGGTACAACGTGGCCAGTGCTTCTTCAGTTCTGGCTGAGGCATACCTCAGGACCACAGGACCTGGATCTCCAACTTATGGCTGAATATTACGGGCACACCCGGTTGGTCAAAGCAATTGACTGTGGCCATTAGGTAATCGGTTAGATGATGCCTTGCGTGAATAGGCGTATGGCACCACCATGCCCCCACCCTAGGATAAAATTCTATCTCAAGATCTTTACCCCAATACTAGGATATCAACCCCAAGATCCCAACCTAAGTTACCATCCTAGCAATTATGCTTACATCTATCTGGGTGCCATACGCCTATATGGGCAACGGGTTCCTTGCCCAAAGCACATCACGCAACTCACTTTCCTGGCTGGAAGCAGCGCTGACTGGTTTTGGAAGCTTGACAAGCCCGCCGACTGCTTTCAAAGACTCGACACCCATCCGCCAAGTGTTTTGGAGTAGCCGTACTCAACGCTTCCAGTCCGAGACGTATTGCTCTACCTTGACTGCCGTCTTGTCCGTCTTCCTCCATGCGCCCTTGACGTTTTGCCCTGCACTTGCCTACAACCTCATACCACCAGCGAACCCACTCACCAAGTACAAGTCGCAAGTTGCACCACAAAACAAGTCAAATTGTGAAAGCCCCCACAACTTCAAAAATACTGTCGAAAGCTACACTTTTAGTTGGTACGTTGATTACTCTAGGTAGGGGTCTCTCCTAATCAAAAACCCAAATCCTAAACCCCACGCCGCTTCCACTTGGAGGGCTAAGCTTTGAATATGGCAGCTTCCAAAAATTCAGGATTTTTTGGGTGTTTATCATGACGATTCTAGTACTTGGGTGCTATAGGGTGGAGGAGAGGATGGAAAAGAGGCTAGAGGAGAGGATAGGAGAGGAGAGGATGGAACTATATGTCACGTGTCCGCATTCGGGTTCGCATCAGGTTTAATCTTCTAAGGACCGGGGGAGTCACTAGGGCGGCGGAAGTGATTGGATTTCTTGGTTCGATGACTCCGCCGTAACTCTCAGCACCAGGCTCCCACCGCCAGGGTTTGAGCCTAGGATCCAACCGAAATGGGATGACTGGCCATGTTAATTGTTCAAGGTTTTGGGGGTTATGGTGTCAGGGGATACGGATTTATTGTACATGAACGTTACAGCCTGAAATGGGCACTTCTTGAGCTGTCTAATGCACAAACTGTTTGAGAGGTCGGGTAGAGCCGAGAGGACTCAACGCCTGATACAACTGCTATGTCATTATGCACGAAACGGTGAATGGATGGGTAACCACATCTATGCCGCAATGCACGACATATTTGAGTGGATAAGAAACCACAACTATGCCGTTATGCACGACATACACCATCCTGTGCCCTTCATTATGGCTGCATTTGCTGAATCATGGAATAGATGCTCTTCTTTACCCGATTCTCTGACCGTCAGGAGGGGTGGTTTCCCACGGAGAAGCCTACCCCTCACTTGCAAACGCGGAAGGGGTTGTAGGGATCCTTCCAGGGGATGATCTGGGGACCACTATAAGGATCCCTTTCCCCATTCCCGGACAAGCATGGGTAAGGAAACTTCAACCATATTAAGTGCCCAGCTGTCGCCATGGCGGGAGATTGGACTCATCCTGCGCTCTCAACGCAGTAGACTTGTTGTGAACTCCACATCAGCCGCCATTCGAGGTGATACTTAAAGAAGAAGAGGCGGGGGTTCAACCCTTGGCATCGGGCTCGTCCCTACTGCCAGTCACCTTAGCTTTGGGTTAAGTTGGAAGGCAGAGCACCCGCCTTTCAGGTAAGCCTGACTTGCCTGCACTCCCTTCATCCGGATCCTATCATGTCAGCCTGCCTGCTTACAACATGTCGTAGTTTAAAAATTGGGGGGGGGGGGCAATACAGACTCCCAAATACTAAAGTCCTTATTACAAGGACCCTCCGCAAAGAGACCACTAACTTTGGGAAACCCCTAACACCTATAAAGCCCTATATGATCCCAGCTTCAGTTTCATTTTTCAATTCACATTTCCATTTAAGTCTCCATTATAGGGATAACATCGCTATACATATATGTATATATGTGTGTGTGTGTGCATCTAGCGGCTCAGGCAACCTTCCCTCATTTCATGGCTGTCCTCCTCCATGTCATCATCATCGTCGTCCGGCTCTAGTAGCTCTTCTTCGACGGTCTTAGCAGCAGTCTCTGCGCTCTCCCCCTCAAAAAACTATTTCCACTCCTACTGTACACTTGACGTTGACGCACCCAACATAGGGAACCTTTCATGCCCGGTGTGCCGCACTGTTACTGCCGGCTGGGGGCCCAAGTTTACGGGGTGGCCCTGAGGAACACATGACCGAATCCGAATAGGGCAGCATCGCAGCATCGCAGATTTTTAGCTAAGGATCACTCTTCCCAACTGCTTCAATGACCCAGGGAATCGCTGGATAGGGGTGGCTGTGGCCATCGACCTACACAATAGCCAAACTCCCGCCATGGACCAAGAGCTGTACAGGTGTCCAGATATCCGTGGGCTTGCTGCAATCAAGAAGCTGTACGATCATGCGTCGCAACACGAATTAAGCAATTCATGCTTTGTGGGGTGATCTGCGTCTTTACATAGCATTCACCTGTTGCTGGATAGTGGAGACCGTTCCAAAGATGCTATACAAGGTAAAAATAACTACCAAGGCGCGCACGCCCATGCGCTGCCAGATGTTCATCTGCTGCCCATACATCTGCAGCAAAGCAGCACATGGGAAAATGACGCAAACGCCATTTGCTGGCAGAATGCCAACCAAGTCGCCGATGAACGCCACAGCGTCCTTTGCGGGATATGCACTCGCACCCTTTGCCCCAGGAGCCCCAAGTAGCCAAACCTACTCGCATCCCCGTAAACTATGTAACAAAGTCTCAAAGAACGGGAAACCCCACGCAAACAGCCTCTCGCCGGATCATGCAAGGATGGCTTACGGGGGCCCCGCGGTCCTTCAGCATCACGACAATGACCCCAGAGACGCTGAGGATAATGGCCTTCATGAGGAGCTGGCCTTTCCACTGCAATTTCCTGGGTTGCTGTTAAGGAACTTAAATTAAGTTACCATAATGTGTATATATAGTAAATAATAGGGTTTCCCCAATATAGTAACTTAAATTAAGTTCCTTAACATCAACCCAATTGCTCTCCGAAGAGGTCCGTCGTAGCATCTAGCAGCAAAGGCAGTGTCACCAACTGCTTCGTGCTGAGCCCGAGAATTGTAATGGCACCAAGGAGAACATTCCTTGGTAGCCCAGTAACCATATTACAATAAGGGTACCCTTTTTTCTGTTGGTATATTATATATGGGAACCCAGAACCCAAAAAGGGTAAAAGGGTACCACTGGGGTTCCTAGATTCAAGCCCCCTGGGAGGACCTGAAGCTCCAAGTCACGGCCAATGTTGTCTGCAATGGACTCGGCAACACCTGGGTTGCTGTTGGGGAACTTAATTTGAGTTACTATTATTGGGGAAACCCTATTATTTACTATATATAACCATTATGGTAACTTAATCTAAGTTCCTTAACAGCAACCCAGTAGTTAGCCCGACATCGATGGGAGCCTGGACGAAGTTCTTGGTGCTAAGTTGACACCGGCACCTGAACGAAGGGTTGAGGTTTAGGGTTTAGGTTTTTGGGCTTTGGATCTAAAAATTAGATCCCCTAGAACCATAGGGGGAATTATATCAGGGTTACTATAGGGGCTATAATGGGTCTATATAGGGGATCTAATTTTTAGATCCTCCCAGAGGTCTGGGAAGGGTTGAGGTTTTGTTTTGGGCTTATAGATCGTCCCGCCTCTACAGTCATCATCTTATACTTATATGAATTACTCCCTCAACCCTTATGCAAAATAATTACTGCCCCTTAATATATGAGGTCTTCATTGGGAGAACATTTAACTCTAGGGGTGGGAGAAATTTAGGAATATTACAGTATGAAGGGACCACCTTGAAATTTCAGCATCCTCAACGAAGGAATTTCCAGGTTTTGAGGGGGTTGAGAGTTGGGATTGGGGCTTAGAAGTTGAGCTGTGTAGGCTTTAAGGTATAGAGTCTGGGGCCTGGGCTTAAGGCTTTTAAGGTTTGCAGGATTCAGAGTTTAGTATTGAATGATTGCGGAGTTCTGGTCCACCTGTCTACTTTACTAATGACGCCTACCGAAGAAAACTGGCCGGAGCTTTCACGTCGTTGACGTGAGGTATCGAAGAAGGCAGCTGTGCCGGGGTGCAATCCACTTTTCCCTGAAGTGAGCCCCCACCAGCCGGTGATGATACATATTCCACACGTAATAGCATTGTATACTATTGGGGGAAGATGTTGTTGGGGCTGAGAAAGCAGGCCCCCGACAGATTATGAGCGCCGAATTCTGGCCGCTACGGACTACGTCCTTGGAGCCCGTTGTATAGGGTGTTGAGTCTCAGGATGTGTGACTTGGATGTGGGAATAAAGGAAGCCTGTTGGGACGGAGTTTCAGACAGAAGCTTTCCCTCTCCCCAGACAAACAGCGTGAAGCCCCAGAACTACAGGCCCTCCTTTAATAAGACCCTTAAACAGGCAGATGCGTTCATAAGGCCACTCTCTGGTAACATGGTAGCCTAGAGCTGCAAGTTTTGGGATGACCTAAGCCCTAAACCCAAAGCCCGTAAACCCTAAACCCCTAAAACCCCTAGACCCCTAAACCCCTAAACCCCGAACCCCTAAACCCCTACACCCCTAAACCGTAAACCCCCGAAGCCTTTAGCTTCCTGCTTGATTGCTCCTCAGTTCCTGGAGCCCTGGGAAAAAAGCTAAAATTACCCAGACCCTCCTATGTAGTTGGTTTTTGTGAAATGTAGAATTTGCCCAAAAACCAAAACCCGTAAAAAACCCAAAATGGAACTACACAGGAGTGTTCGAGTAGAGGTTGGGGTTTAGTGTATTTATCTGCTCCTCGTGATTTGGGGCTTGTGGCTGGTGAAGGTTGAAAGTCAAGGTCTTTTAGGAGATCAAGGGTATAGAAAAAGAACCAGCTTCCCTCAACCCTAAACCAGACCTTTGCTTTCCTGTAGTGCTTGGTGGCCAAACCTCCAATCCTAAACCTCCACAGATCGTGATGGCATCTCGCAAGTACTTCCGTGACTTTGTTTTCGAAATTGTTGCTTGCGTTACACCTCGAAATTCTACACCCTAAATGCCAAACCGAAAGCGCCTTGTCGAAAGGGGGTACGTGGAGGTTCAGGCCAAATGTTATATAAACCAAATGCATTTATATTAGGGGAGTTGGGGGGCTTTTTCTAGTTGGCTCAAAAGAACAAGTTCAATTGGGCTATGATTGCCCCTTGAATTCAAACCCCTATAGATCCTAGAGCGCGCGAGCCCTAAATCCTAAAGCGACTAAAAGGGTGACCGACCCGAAACCCTAAACCCTACCCTTGCGGGGAGCCAAGGGACTCGCACAAGGCATAGTAGAACACATCGCTGAACCTGAGGCTGTTGGGTTCTCAAATACGGTTTAGGATTTCGGGATTAGAGATGGTTATGATTGAGGGCTCAGGGGCAGGACTCAGGGTTTAGGATTTAGGGTTCAGGGGTTAGGGCTTAGGGTTCAGGGTTTAGAGCTTGGGTTTTGTTATCAGGTGGGTACCCTGAAGCCTGAACTAGATAGACCTGGTGTAGCCCCAACACGCTCATGCGAGCCCTGTTTCCGCGGGCATGACCAACAACTAACTGCCAACCATGGAGAATGAAATTGAGCAACAAATGGAAGATGAAACAACAAGTGGGAGTTTTTAGGGATATACAGGAATTTGGGTTTAGAGTTCATTTTTGGTGGTTTGTAAGGAATTGGTGAATAGGTCATAGGAAACTATTCTGGGGGATTTTAGGGACTACTCTAAGGATCATTCTCCTATTTCCCGACGCAGATTAGGGTTTCGGGTTTAGGGTTTAGAGTTTAGGGTTTGGAGTTTGATTTTCTTCTTCTACAGGCTCTTAAACCTAAAGCCCCAACGCTAAACCTTGATATATTGCCTCTGCCTGAAAGTGACCCAGACTGCACGCGCTGCAGATCTGCGTAATGTAGAATTACAGGTACGGATCTAGGGTTTAGAGTTTAGGGCGTTCGGGTTCACGGCTTAGGTACGCGGTACTTCAAAAAACGCGCAACATGACATTGGTCATCGTTTAGGCCACTTAATTGCAGTAAGCAGCTTTATGCTGGTGTATCGCGGAATAATCTTCAACCGCTTCTAAGCCCTGCTACAGGTTTGCCGACCCAAAAACCTTAGCCCAAACCCCGTAAATCCAAACTCCGTAAGCCCTGAACCCTAAACCCCGAACCCTGAACTTCCTAGACACTAAATGTGCTCCGCCCTAAACCCTAAACCCAAGCAAAACTTTGTTGGATGGAAGTTCTTCCTGGCACATGGCTGGATTGTCGTATTTGAAAAGGCAAGCTTTCCCCCAAACAGGCCCGTTTAAGGCTACTTAGGCGGCTCTTTGGGGTTCCATGGTGGCTTGGGTGAGGGTAGACCGTCAGCACCTGAAGTGCAACCTCGAAATGGAGAGTCACATGCTGAGGTGCTAGCACGCCGCAAGCTCTTGCACGTGTGCAAGCTGTGCCTTGAAGGCCAAGAACTAAGTTGAGTAGTGCCAGGCGTAAGGGTTGAAGGCTTTACGGGCTAAAGCTTCAAGATTTTGAGTTTGATTGCGGCTCTCTAGACCAAGACTGTCAGGATGGAAGCTCAAGAGCTGTACTGTTGGGTTCAATGTAATTCAAGGATCCTTCCATGAGGCATGTGGGCACATGGAACCCATACGAAGGTCATGTTGGGCCGTATCGACGGAAACCTCTGTGAGGTTACGAATTTTGTGCAGGGAGCACCCCTGAAATGCAAGGCCATGTGTCCAACAACAACGACCCCTCGAATTTTTTAAGGATGTGTGCAGAGCGCCACGTCTTCCCTGCGATCCATGGGTTTCCCGTTCGGGTGCCGTTTGTCTGCCTGTTGAACATTCCGGGGCTGACCCGGTACGGTCACCCAGAAGCAACCCAAACCCAAAGCACCACGCCCACCCCAAGCCCGCCGTTACTCATCCCAGCAGTAACCTAAACCCTGCATGAACCTTAAACCCAAACTACCATTCTCACCTCAAACCCAAAGACGCACAGGAACCCCCTGACATCAAGACCTGGGGCCCGGGATACAAACCATGTTGTAGCAGAAAACAAGCCTCAACATAAAATCACCGTTTAGGGTTAAGGGTTTCCAATATTGCTATATGCCCCCCCTAGTAAATGGTCCCCGTAATATGCAGTGGTTCCATAATGCGACATCTCGGACTGGCGGGGAGTTGGTATGAGGGGAACGCCTGTCACCCTGTAAGCCGTTCCTCAGCCTTACTGGAGGCTCAGGGTAATGATAATCATAACCCGTTTGCTATCAATGTACTCAATTGAAATTCTTATCCAGTTGTAATTAGAAGCCCCTACGTCCCTTAATCTATGAAGCTATAAACGGACAAAGTCCCAGTTACAAATAAGAAAACCCGTCCGACATTACACATTGCCGAGAGCAGTCCACGTGTGTTGGGGGATGTAGCCTTCGTACTGCAGAACCCTGAAAGATTTCCAATCTTAGTTCCCTATTGCCTCCCGTATAGAACTACAACATACGCCGATCAACATTCCTATTCTAACCGATGAGGCATCTGCTTTACTCATACAGAGACCTACCTGACTGGCGGCGAGGCCGAAATCGCAAAGCTGAGGTGATGACGAGTAAGGTTTTCCAAGAGCCGCCTCCTGCAACATGCCGTTTCATTTGGAAAAACTACGAATGCCTGGGCCCAAGCAATATCCAGCATAACTTAACAGCCTTGCCGGCCCATTTTTTGCGTGTGTCTTATACACCCTAAAACCTAAACCCTAAAACCTAAACCCTAAACCCTAAACCCCAAACCCTAAACCCTAAACCCTAAACTTATACCTACTTTCGGGGTCCAAGTTGTTACGTCTAAACATGAAATAAGGCCATGTTGCGAGCATCCTTGTCATAAACCCTAAGCCCTAGGCCCTAAAACAACCAGGCGTGATAACACTGATTTGCATTCAAGTTCAGTCACACTCAACTTTTTTGTCTGTCGTTTTCAAATGTAATTCAAGGTAAGGTAAGGTTTCTGAAAGCAACAATAGATTCGGGGATGCGCAAATAATTTTTGGCAGCCCTCAACACGTGGATAGCAAGTCTCGCTCTAGGCCATTGCTTGACAACCTCTACGACCCTAAGCCCTGAACTGTAATGAGTTGCCAGAACAAAGCAAAGCCGCTGCAGAAAAGGAATGGGCCTTCTCCACATAACTCATGCCGGGTCTAGGGTCTGGGGACCTACCTGGACCTACCTAGACAGTACTGTGGATTCTTGTCCGTGTTCGTTTGCATTTGAC